GTTTTGCTTGTATTCCTCGAACTCGACCGCTGTCACCTGGGAATCGGCAATCTTTGAGCCCTTCTGAAAGCACTCTTCTGCCTTTTTCCGATCACCGGTGATAGTGATCACTCCTTTGGGGCCGGGCATCTTCAATTTGAGGTACACGTAACATGGTCGAGCCATGAACCGTGCGTAAGCTGGTCTCCCCAAAATGGCATGATATGCACTCTGAAAATCCACGACCTCAAACGTCAACTTTTCTTTGCGAAAATGTTTCGAATCACCAAACACCACGTCCAAAGCTATTTGGCCGAGTGACTCGGCTTTCTTCCCTGGTATAACTCCATGAAAGCTCATGTTACTAGTGCTCAGTCGGGACATCGGAATGCCCATTCCTTTCAGTGTGTCTGCATACAACAAATTCAGCCCGCTTCCACCGTCCATCAGCACTTTTGTCAGTCGAGTGCCTTCAACAACTGGATCGACCACCAAAGCTTGCCTCCCAGGGGTGGCAATATGAGTCGGGTGATCAGATTGGTCGAATGTGATGGGTATTTGAGACCATTTCAGATAATTTGCTTTTGCTGGGGCAACCATGTTCACCTCTCGGTTAATGACTTTCAGTCGACTCCTGCTTTCCACATCTGCAAAGATCATCAGAGTGGAGTTGATATGCGGATATCCTTCCTCACTGTCCTCCTTGTCTTCAGCCTTGTCCGACTCCTTCTCCTTGTCCTTAGACTGTTTTCCCTGAAACTGCTGGATCAGGAGTCGACATTGGCGAGTGGTGTGCTTCGGGTAGATGATATTCCCCTCTTCGTCTTTCTTCGTGTGGATGTGACATGGCATATCCATTATGTCGTTCCCTTCTTTATCCTTTACCTTCTTGGGGTTCCAGGATCCTTTTGGTTTCCCCTTAAACTTTCCCTGAGTCACGGCCAGAGCCTCTCCTGGAGCTGCCGGTTCAGCCTTCCGCTTCTGTTTCCGACTGGTGTTTCCTTTTTCCGACTGACTCGGCTTGTGCTTGCCGCTTCGGAGTCGGTCTTCTTCTTCGCCGTTGGCGTACTTGGTAGCAATCTCCATCATCCGACTCAAGGTCATGTCACCGGTTCGACCAAACTTCAAACTCAGTTCTCTGTTCTTGACGCCATCTTTGAAGGCGCAGACTGCCTGATGATCAGACACATTCTCCACAGTGTGGTGCAAAGTGATCCATCTCTGAATATACTCTCTGAGAGTCTCATTGGTCTTCTGCACGCAGACTTGCAACTCTGTCAGTCCAGCTGGTCGCTTGCAAGTTCCTTCAAACGTTCTGATGAACACTCGGGACAAATCTTCCCAAGTGTAAATGCTGCTAGGCGGTAATTGAGTTAACCATGCCCTGGCAGAACCTTCCAGCATGAGGGGTAAATGCTTCATGGCCACCTCGTCGTTCCCACCACCAATCTGAACCGCCACTCGGTAGTCCTCAAGCCAAGTTTCAGGCTTAGACTCACCAGTGAACTTGCTGACTCCTGTTGCCAACCTGAAATTGGGAGGGATAACTGCGGCTCTGATAGCTTTGCTGAAACATTCAGGACCAGAAACATGCACTCGACTGCTTGTGGGTGCATCTCTGTCGAGTCCGCCTCGATGGGCTCTGTTCCGGTCGACCAAACCTTGCACGATAATGGATCGCGCGTCGAAGCCTGGTTCTCTGGGGTCGACTGGAACCCTTCGCCCTGTACTGTACTGACGCCTGTCATCTTGCTGCCGAGGAGCGTAAGACCCACCCCTCGGAGGGGAATTGGGCACTCGACGCCTATCATCTCGGTCGAGTCGGTCGCCATATTGATCTCGCCGATTCTCGCGCCCTTCCCGCCGCGGAGGCGATCTGGGGCTGTGAGCCGACTGAACCGTATTTGCAGTGACGGATCGACTGTGAATTCTGTTGCGCGACTGAGACATGGCTGAATTCTGATCTCCTGCTGCCCGGAGCAGATCCCTGATCTGCAGCAAACCTCTGTCAGCTTCCGACTGCGAAGGCTGGATGGACTCTGCTATACGGGTCGCAGCTGCTAAATTCTGGATTGGGGTTCGATATACCTGAGTCGGCGGGAAGAGTTGACGTCGACTGGTGTCGGGAACTCGTTGCCGCGCGCGCTCGTCGAGTGCTCGCTGAAGATTCTCCAGTCGAGTGCGTTCGGCCAAATTGGCTAGACGCGCCTCCTCCAAGGCACGAGCCTCGGGGGTTTCTCCTGCGATGGGAGTACGCAGAGCATCCACGTTCCTGCGGCGAAGTTCCTCTCTTTGCAGAGAGTCGAGTGGCTCGGGCTGGTACTCTTCGTGGCCTCGTGCGGGGTCGCCTCCGTCACCTGCTCCACCATCACGGGCGAAGCCAGGGGGACTGCGGGGCCCGTCGACCATCAAGATTTCCGCCGCTGGATCACTGCTACCGCACTCGGATGCAGTCTCTACGGAGCCAGTCGACAGATCGAACAAGCCGTAGAGAGATTCGTCGGGCTCGATTGCCGCAACTTGGGTGGTGGCCGATTGGCGAGCCACCGCGTGCCTCACCCATCGCTGAAGCCTCGACCGGCCCGAGCGCTTGCGCTGGCGGGAGACCGGGAGGGTGGACGATGGAGGAGTCATCCGATACGGGGTCGACGGTTGCCGCAGCAGAACGCCGCGGACACATGCGCGAAAATGCGTCGCACCGCGGACGGGGAGCGCATCAACGTCGAGTGGAGTCTCCTGGAGCCAGGCGGAGTCGTCGGCGATGAAGGTGAGAGTGCCGAGACAGACCTCTCGACCTTTGACCGAAACTCCAGCAGACACCATGATGAAAGTACTCGGAAGAATCGCAACTTCTCCACAAAATCGCTAAAACACCGGCCCCACGATGGGCGCCAACTGTCGTGGTTCTAAGCCTGACAGTAGAGTGGGGGGTAGGTATGGAGAGGCAAGGTCCTAGCTATGGAGAGGTTGTAAACACAAGGGATGTACGAGTTCAGGCCCTTCTCGGAAGAAGTAATAGCCCTACGTCTCGGAGCCCGGAGGCGGTCGAGTGGATTATGAGTATATGAGTTACAAGGTGCCGAACCCCTCTACCTGTGGAGGGGGGCGGCTTATATAGAGTGCGCCGGGACCCCAGTCAGCCCACGTAGGAGAGGGTTTAAGGTGAGTTAAGTCCGGGGCGTTACTGATAACGCCCCACATAAAGTGTCTTTACTACCATAAAGTCTACTTAATTACAGGCCGTTGCAGTGTAGAGTGCCTCTTGACCTTCTGGTGGTCGAGTGAGTCTTCGTGGTCGAGTCCTTCAAGTCAGTCGAGTGAGTCCCTCGTTGGTCGACTGGAAGGCGACCTCTTCTAAGGGTGTTCTTGGGTAAGGTACTTAGATCAGGTCCATGACCCTACCCTAGGTACGTGACCCCATCAGTAGGGGCATGGCCCCTCTTGGTCTGCATGAAGCCACGCCATTGCTTGCATGAGTCATTATTTGGCATGGGAGCACGTTAAGTGGTATGCCTAGTCATTGCCACGTATCATGTGTTGGGCGCTCTTTTTGAATTTTTTTGTACGCATTTTTTGGCTTTAGATGATTTTTTTCTTGCCTGATTTTCCCAAGATTTTGAAGGGGGGCGGGGGGTTTGATTTTTTTTGCTAGGAAGCAGTCTTTTTCACAAGAGGTGCTTCCTTGATATGTGTTGTGCTTCTTACGGAAGCAACGATGTGCTTCCGCCAAAAGCATATCGCCTGAGCTACCATCAGATAGCATGTGCTTCTCAAAATGGAAAAAAGCACAACTGTATCTTTCACCAAAGAAAGGAAAACACATAGTTGTGCTTCCGCGAAAAGGACACCCTTACTTCTGTGAAAAGCACAGTCCGCGCTTCCTCAAATAAAGGAAAAAACACAGTATGTGCTTCCAAAATAGTGAAACTCGCAACCGTTCTTCCCGGCTCTAGTTTTTTTGGTATTCATTTTTGTTGTTGCCGGTTTTTCGGGTTCTTTTTTGGATTTTTTTGTTTCCTTTTTTTCGTTGTTTTTTCATTGAAACCCATTAACTTGGAATCTAGTTTTGAAGATCTCGACGAGAGAAATTCAAAGACGAAAATGGTTCGGTGTTTGGACGCACGATTAGAGATAAAATAATTTGAAATGATAAATCTAAAAAAGAGAGAAAACTCACATGTTGTGCTCCACTTGTCAACACCTGAGAATACAGTGAGTGATCTTTGCAAAGGGTGATTTCCCATTATAAATTTAAACTATAGGCACAAGTATCAGACGAACATAATGAGTGGCCCAACTCTAAATACGCTGCCGCAATTATTTGGTTCACAAGATTTAAAAAGCATACAGAAGGCTGAATCCTAAAGGGATGAAGTACACAAAAATCAACAAGTGATTTGTTTGCCCCATAAGAGAATCAAGGAATTTTGTATAGAAATCAAATTCATATCATAGATTCTATTGGAAAATTTCTACAGATTTGCATACTACATAATTTATATAAAATTCATTTGAAGGAAAGAGCCCTCATGTGCGGTACGTCTGCACTCACATTTCAGTAGATTTCTTCGTTTGTTCTTGTAAGTACAATCCAACTACGGAAAAGAAAAACGGCTCCGCATCGGTTAAGTGTAGGTGTTTGCGATGTCGGCGAGGTGGCCCGCCAGTTCATCCGGCGCAGAGAACATGACCATGTGGTCGGCGTTAGCCATCTCCCTCACCTCAACCACGGGGATGCCTGCAATCATGTGCCTCTGGTACTCCTCAACCATGGCCATGTCCTGCTTGGCGACCACGTAGACCTTGGTCACCGCGCCGTACCGGGCAGCGCTGAACGGCGGCCGTTGCTGCTGGTCGGCCACGTAGTAGGAGCTCACCCGCGCCAGGCTCTGGCACAACGTGTAGTCCTCCTCCGGGCTCAGTTGGTAGAGCTTCTGGCGCACGAGCTCGGGGCCGAGGAACACCGACGGTGGGGCGTGCTCCTCGTCGATAACACTGTCCATCCAGTCGGACGCGAGAACCTTCTCGATGACGCGGGTGCGCGGGCCGTCGCAGTCGGGCATGAAGGCGGTGAGGAACACGGCGGCGGCGACCTTGTCGGGGAATTCCTCGGCCGCGAGCGCGACGCTCATCCCGCCGAAGCTGTGGCCCACGAGCACCGCCCGCTCGCCGTCCGGGAGGTCCCGGAGCGCGTCGAGCAGGGGGCGCGTGTAGTCCTCAAAGGTGGGCGCGTCGCGCAGCCGGCGCGCGTCGGCGCCGCACGCCACGAGGTCCGGCGCGTCCACGCGGTGCCCCGCGGCACGGAGCAGGGTGGCGACCTTGTACCAGCACCACCCGCCGTGGCCCGTGCCGTGCACCAGGATGAGGCGGGTCGACGTCGCCACGGCAGCCGCTGGCACAGAGGAAGAAGACATGTGTGCGCGCCGAGCACTGGACAGTACACGCCGAGGCAAGTAGGCACCTAGCTAGCTGCTTCCTTTTCTTGGCTGCTTGATTCATGTTACACGTCTCACTTTATTTATGTATGCGGCTATGCGGGCATCTTCTTCAAGAAAAAAGGGCAGATGCCGTATTGTCGGCTGATGCAATGCTGGCGGCGTCCTTTATGCATTGGCAGGCTGCAGAGAAGATAGCTGTTCAGCACAATCTGTTCACGCGGAGAAGATGTAGTAGAAATGAATGTTTTAGGCCCTTTTCGGTATCTCTCCGCGGAGCGAAGCTGGGAAGCTGGATTTTCGCTGCTCCGTCAAAATAAGCTGTAGGCTGATCCGCTCCAGGACTCTAGGAGTAGAGTCAGAGGAGCGAAGAAGAACCAAACAGGCTCTTAGTTAATACAATCAAAAAACCTATCTGATGAAAGAGGTAGTACATTTATACACCACACTTTTTGACGTGTGACTTCCTTATGCCTAAACGGGAACCGAAAAAATGAGCTGCAATTTAATTGCGCTAGTCGGGTCTTGCACTTAATACTTCTTGGCTCTTGTTGAGATATATATTACGTATGCATTACTTGTACAACAAGCCCTTCTCCTTTCTTGTATAGTTGAGGACGTGGTCACCTATTGTACCTATATATGTATGTGCATATGCATGAGTATTTAACCAAAAACTACCACATTTCACGGAAACATGACAGAAAACTACCACTTTACGATTTTGTGCGGAAAACTACCACTTTTGTCCTAATCCGTGGCAAAAAACTACCAAATCTCGAAACCGGTCGCTTCACCCGTGCTAAGCACCAAACTAACCAACCGGTCCCACGTTTCAGGCGCCATGGTGGCCAACCGATGCCCGCCGCACGTTAACGGCGCGTCCGCGGTCGGAAACGGTGTCGTCAGAGGATCAACATCAAATGGCCGGTCCCACGTTTCCAACCGCGGACGCGCCGTTAACACGCGGCGGGCGTCGGTTGGCCACCGTGGCACCTGAAACGTGGGACCGGCTGGTCAGTTTGGTATTTAGCGCGGGCGAAGCGACCGGTTTCGAGACTTGGTAATTTTTTGCCATGGATTAGGACAAAAGTGGTAGTTTTCCGCACAAAATAGTAAAGTGGTAGTTTTCTGTCATGTTTCCGTGAAATGTGGTAGTTTTTGTTAAATACTCCATATGCACCCAATGAATATATATCGTGAGTTGCACCTATTCTCTACATGGTATCAGCCTTATTTCAGTCCTCCCTCTCTAAATCCTAGCCACACGTCGCCATTGCTCCCTAGCCGGCGCCGCTACCTACCCTAACCCTAGCCGGGCCGATGCCGCAGCTACCTAGCCATCGTCGCTACACCCACCCTCCTAATCCCCCACAGCAGCCGCCGCGCCACCCCTACTTCCCTCCTGATCCCCATGCCGCCGCAAACTCCACTCTGTAGCCGCCGCTGCCACCACCATCTACCCAGCCGACGCCGCCAACTTCACCGGCGCCATCATGTCCAACTCCTTCTCCTATCGCAACAAGCCCTTCGCCTACTCTGATGCTAGCTCCGTTCCCAACCTGGCGTACATCCTGGACGTTTCGATCTTCGATCGTGTTTCGATCAAGCTTTCTCACACGGAGGCGAACTTCTATACATGGAAGACCTATGTCACCCTCCTTTTTCGTGAGTACAATCTCCGTGGCCATATTGATGACATCACTGACCTCCTCACCATGCGCCGCGACGATGACTGGATTGCGATCGACGCCACCATCATTCAGTGGCTCTTCCTCACCGTGTCCAAGGACATCTTCCACACCGTCGTTCACAATGGCTACGATGCCTACACGGCGTGGACCAAGATCATCGGCCTCTTCACTGACAACAAGCTCCAATGGATCGTCTTCTTGCAGCAGGAGGTTTTTGGTTGCCACCAAAATGACTCCTCCATCGGCGCCTACTGCATGCGCCTCAAGACCTTCTCCGACGAGTTGAACGACGTCAGCTTCAAGGTTGAGGATGAGCTTCTCCTTTCCACCCTCACCTCCAGTCTCAGTGAGGATCTTGGTAACGCCGCTTCCGATCTCACTCTTATGGCTAACCCTACCTATGAGCGGGCGGTGTCCTATCTTTGTCTCGAGGAACATCGGTTGAAAAACTTGCGCTCCCGTGCTATCCACACCGCCCTCGCCGCCGGCTACTTGTGTGGCGGTCCCTCACCAACACCTTTGGCGCCCACCGACGCCTATGGTGCCCCATTCCGGTAGTCACACCCGTCGGTGCCTCCTGCACCCATCAACGCCTATGGCGCGCCCTACTAGCCGCGGCCTCCGGCGCCCGTGGCGCCGCCTCCTCACTAGTACCATCCACCGGCCGATCAGACTTGGCAGCGCCGGCATGGCCGCGGCGGCCAGTAGCGCAACACCAACGGCGCCAACATCAGGAACCAGCAACACTTTGGTCCGCCATTCTCGAAGCCACCATGGAGCGCTGGCCATAACCCTTGGACCGGATTGGTGCACGCCTACACAATGCCGGTCCCGCGTGCGCCCGCTCCTAGCCTTCTCGGGACTCGGTCGTCGGACCATCAGGCTCTCTACACGGCGCCCAGGCCGGGTCTCGAAGCTCCTCGAATGCCCTACTACCTGTTACTTCTTGAGCTGGCTCAGCGGAAGCACTAGACTACATTTCCCCATAAGAGAGGCTATCAAGGATAAACAACTAGGTTGTCGGATCCCACACATACCAAGCATTTCAATCATACACACAATATGCCCAATATGTGTAAATGCAACATGGCATCACAACAAAACTCTACAACTCAAAGTATTTATTCATTAGGCTCCGAAGAGCCAGATATTACAAACATGGGTCTCATGACCCATATTACAAAGCATACAAGCAACAAGCACATGCGGAAGCTTAACTTGTCTGAGTACAGACAACTACAAATGAAAAGGCTAAGAAGCCTGACTATCTACAAGACCCTGCCGAGGGCACAAGATCGTAGCTGAGGTAACAAGCTAAACATCAAAGTCCACGCGGAACTACTAGGGAGACTGAAGTCTCTCTGCAAAACATAAATTAAGCAAACGTGAGTACAAATGTACCCAGCAAGACTTACATCAGAACTAGCTACATATGCATCAGTATCAACAAAGGGGGTGGTGGAGTTTAACTGCAGCAAGCCAGCTTTGACTCGGTGGCTATCCTGAACTACGACTGCAAGTAACTCTTTTGAGGTGGCGCACACGAGTCCATATATTCACCATATCAATACACCACTATGGATCCGCTCCCGTCTCCCTACGAGAATGCCATCCATAACACTCACGCTTATCTTGCGCATTTTGGAGTATCCACTTTCACTTGTCTATGAACTGTACAGGCAACCCAGAAGTCCTTCACCGCGGACACGGCTATTCGAATAGATGATGTTAACCCTACAGGGATGTACTTCTTCACAAAAGTTCTCGCCACTTACCGCCATGTACACGTCATGTATCTTGGCAACCTTCAAGCGGAAGCCTGGAGAGGGTGTCGGCCACGACCTGACTAACCACACAAGTCTCTAGTCTAGGTTTATCGCCTATTCGGGTTCCATCCGCGAGGAGATCCGACCGGTGTTTCGCTCACAACCCCAAACGATGTGTGCAGGGTTCCCGAGACACCAAACGGGCGACTCGGTACACCAGGCCACGGTGTATCTACCGCATCATAGCCCTCCGCTAGGGTTAGTGCTACGCACGGCCTCCAACACATATCCTACAAACACCAGAAACTAGTTGTAACTCCTGGACAGATATCAAGGCGATTAATAAGTCGAGAGAGTCAATTATGGATTGAAGGAAATATGCCCTAGAGGCAATAATAAAGTTATTATTTATTTCCTTATTTCATGATAAATGTTTATTATTCATGCTAGAATTGTATTAACCGGAAATTTAATACATGTGTGTATACATAGACAAACAGAGTGTCACTAGTATGCCTCTACTTGACTAGCTCGTTAATCAAAGATGGTTATGTTTACTAACCATGGACAAAGAGTTGTTATTTGATTAACGGGATCACATCATTAGGTGAATGATCTGATTGACATGACCCATTCCATTAGCTTAGCACCCGATCGTTTAGTATGTTGCTATTGCTTTCTTCATGACTTATACATGTTCCTATGACTATGAGATTATGCAACTCCCGTTTGCCGGAGGAACACTTTGTGTGCTACCAAACGTCACAACGTAACTGGGTGATTATAAAGGTGCTCTACAGGTGTCTCCAAAGGTACATGTTGGGTTGGCGTATTTCGAGATTAGGATTTGTGACTCCGATTGTCGGAGAGGTATCTCTGGGCCCTCTCGGTAATGCACATCACCTAAGCCTTGCAAGCATTGCAACTAATGAGTTAGTTGCGATATGATGTATTACGAAACGAGTAAAGAGACTTGCCAGTAACGAGATTGAACTAGGTATTGAGATACCGACGATCGAATCTCGGACAAGTAACATACCGATGACAAAGGGAACAACGTATGTTGTTATGCGGTCTGACCGATAAAGATCTTCATAGAATATGTAGGAACCAATATGAGCATCCAGGTTCCGCTATTGGTTATTGACCGGAGACATGTCTCGGTCATGTCTACATTGTTCTCGAACCGTAGGGTCTGCACGCTTAACGTTACGATGATAGTTTCATTATGAGTTTATGTATTTTGATGTACCGAAGGTTGTTCGGAGTCCCGGATGTGATCATGGACATGACGAGGAGTCTCGAAATGGTCGAGACATAAAAATCGATATATTGGAAGCCTATATTTGGATATCAGAATCGTTCCAGATGAAATCGGGATTTTACCGGAGTACCGGGGGGTTACCGGAACCCCCCCGGGGATTATTGGGCCTACATGGGCCCTAAGGGAGAAGAGGAAAGGAGGCAAGAGGTGGCAGCGCGCCCCTCCCCTCCCTGGTCCGAATAGGACAAGGAGAGG